ATTATATATTCAATAATATATATTTTGTTATATTAATTAAGTTAACCATTGTTATATTTAATTACTAATTATTAAATTAAATTAAATTAGATAATCAATTTATGCACTAATTATGTCATTAATTATTTAATTAATTTACTTAATAATTAATATTTTAAATTATATTAATTAAGTTAATCAATAATAACTTAGAGGCGTCTAGGGTTTTCTCTTTTCGTCGTTGCTGTTCGGCTTCGTTGCTTCTCAGCAGATGTAGAGATTGCACGCGTCGCTTCTTCGGCTCGCTGTTCGACTTCGTTACTTCGACGACTTCCTGTCGATCGGAAGTTACGACATTTTGATCGGAAGCAAAAACGGGAGCTTGCTGGCTGTGAAGGTAACTTTCTCCCTTTCGCGTGCTTCTTCGGACAAATCCCATAAATCCGCCGAACCGAGGGATTTAGTAAATCCGGGATTTAAGCCGTAAATCCTTAAATCTGGGATTTACCCATCGCCGGGATTTAACGCGCGCACAAAAACCGTTTGGCTAGATTTAGCGTAAATCCCAGCTTAAATCCCGCTGTAAATCCGATACCAAACAGCTCCTAAGGTTGGCGCAACTTCAGTTACAGTTTATAGAAAAACTCCCCTTCTATTGTCAACAAAAAACTAAGACACTCGCCTCAGTTGTGCAATACAAATAATCATTTAATGTTCTAATTTAATATTCTGTTGAAAAAAAACTTGATTCCTCCATGGGGAATTATTGAGTTATATCCGATAATCTACCAGTTATAAGCGAAGCTTTTCAAGAAAGAGATATTGCATTGCCCACATTGTACTTTTCTAACCAGAATTCTTGCAGTTCACAAAATCTCAGATGCCATAAAAAATGCAGCTATAGTTGAAAGCATGAGCCAGTTTGATTCTATGCATAAACAACTACAAATAACTTATTTAAATGGTGCTAGTGAATAAAAAAAAGTAAATCTTTTCAGATAGTTTTTTTTTCCTGCAATGAAGAAAAAATTCAAGTTTGCTGATTGTGGATGTAAATTTTTTTATGAGTACATATTTGATTCATTGGGCAGATTAAATTTGTTTATAGTTTCATTCAGAACAAGAAAAAGCTTGATTGGTGCTTATTTAGGCATATGTGTTTGCTCATGAGCTCATCTTAGGCATCATTTAAAATAGCTTATGAGCTCTTTTAGGTCACATTTTTTTTAATGACTAGAAGTTGCTTTTTCATGCTCATTCAGGTGATTGTTTAAGTAGCCTATTTTTTACTCATTTAAAGTGCTTATTTAATAGTGTGCTTGATTCAAGTCTTATTACTATGCTTTTTATTTGCTTCTTTATCAACACAAAAAAGAAAAAAAAAAAACTCATTTATAAACTTGAAATACTAGTTTGTTTTGTGAAAAAGTTGCTTGGCAGTAGTTTATTAGTCATAAGGTGAGTCAAGATGAACTCAAAATGAGCTCAAGCTATCTTGATTTTGAATGAGCTGAGATCGAATACTATCATATATTCTCTAATCCATTTTGAGTTGAGCTCGAGCAGGTTTCTAGCAAAGAAGCTTGAGCTTGAACCAAGTCCTTCGTAGATTAATTTGGATTGTTTGCAGGCCTACCTAAAAATGTTGTTTTTTTGGTTATGAGCGCTTACAATGAAAGATTTGCCTAGAAAAAGCTTCCTGAACTAGAAAAATTAGAATAATTTCTTTAGGCAATTAGTTGAAATAAGAAATTAGTTGAGATCGAATTAGTTGAATTATGGGAGAAGTATCTGATGCTCGAGTTAGAAAGTGAGCATGGAAGGGCACTAGTTAATCAAACCAAACAATGAACAACATAGTGTGTAGGGCCTTCGCCCAAATGTGGGGTCAAATTTAAATATTTTTTTGACTCTCTTGGTTACTTGGTCTTGATTGTAAATTAATCTAAATTGACCTGAGCCTAAATTTTATGACTGTGTGATGGGAAATCTTAACATTTGTAAAAGTTGTTGAAGTTGCCAATTTAGTAATAATGATCATTCCACCTTTTGCTTTGATAGGTGTTTCTTTTCCTTCTATTGAGTTAGTGAAGTCAAGCGAGCGCTAACAAATCAGAAATAAGAAAGACACATCAATCCTCATAAAATTCCGTCAAGCCAGGCAAATGATTTTTCAACCCCTAATTATCATTAGAATGCTTGTATGTTTGGAGAGTTTTCTTGCTCCCATGAAATTAAGATGTTCATTATGAATGAGACAAGTGTAGAGCTATGATGCACAGACATGGACACGGCGACACGGATACGACACGTCAGTTATTGAAAATATAGGACACGGGTTGGACACAGTATTATAGTTTTTATATTCAAAAAATAGTGTATAAAAATTAAATAAGTATAATTTTAAAAATAATAAGTCATTTAACTAGACTTTTTTGCTTAAAATGATTAGTATTAGGATGTCAAGAGTCAGACGTCGATGCCGTTTATCAGTCATCGAGAGAGGAGATGAATATAAAAACTATTTGATGATTAGGTAAAAGTGCGGACGTTAATTTGATGTTGTGGATAGGAAATAAGAAATTTAGTTTTAATTCCACCAAATACAAGAAATTATATTTTAAAAAATTCATAAAATATTTAAGATACGCGTGTCCAATTTGTATTTAATATTTTTTAATCGGACACATTTTCAGCTTGTTCGTCACGTGTCGGAGGACTGTCGGACTGACTCGGATGAGTGTCGTGTCGGGTACGGTGTCGGACACTGCACGCCTCTTTGAGAAGTGTCAGTGCACCATAGGTGTAGAGGGACCATGATACCCCTTTTCAAATCAAGTTGCCCCCACAGCATGTCTCCAAGATTTTTGTATGATTGATAGATGAGCCAATGAGCATGTATCTTGAGGAGAAGATTAGAAATAATTGTAAGAATTTGGTTAAGCTAACCTAGAGAGAGGACTTATTTGAGTCTAAAGTTAATTTAAAAAAAAAAGGCGTTTCTTAATGAGTAATGAGAGAAAAGGAAGTGAGAAAAATGGTAAGAAAATGAGGGGATATCTTAATGCATTTTCTATTCCTTTTATTTATTCCTCTCTTATTTCACAGTGAACACCATAATTTATTATGTGAGACACCTATAAAATATTTACTCATGGGCCTTGGGGTGCCTTAGAAGTCATCGATAAGGGGTTTTAAATTGGGTTGACAACCCCATAAGCTCTTTTGGAAAACTAATGTGGGATTTAAAAGAAGGTTTAAATGGTCTAAAAGCTCTTTATGAGCTTGCATCTAATAGCCTATTTAATATAATGGCCTTACAAGAGGAGAACCAGTTAAAGGCATTTAAGCCCCTTCGTAAAAAAAGGTCTTATTTCATAGAGCAGTCTGTCTTTATCTCTACCTATGTATCCACCTCTGACGCTCGTCTCTCCGTAGCTTTGTTCTTCCCTTCTTCTATGGCTCCTCTTCTTTCGTCATTTTCTCTTTGTTTCTGCTTTGAATCTTGTGCTTCCCTCTCATCCTCCGCTCCCTCTTATTATGCTCCTAAAATCCTCACCCGAGGAAGCCATAGAGCCATCCAATTGATAGAAAGCTATAAAAATGTTTTTATTTAACTTGCTTCATTTGTGTCTCAATTTGAAGTAAAATTAGGTGGTGGGATCATTTGAATTTCTTTTCTTGTAGTTTAGTTAGTTTTTGATCTGAAAAGTTAATGATGTTGTACGTTTATTCTTTGTTAACATACAAAGTAAACATTATTATTAATTTTTTATTGTTCTTTGTATAATATTAGTCTTGCATGTGTTTGAATTTTTGAAATGTTAAAAAACTAAATCTAGTTTTAGAAAACTGTACTTTTTAATAACTAAACATAGGGTATTTTTATCTAGATCCTTTTCTTGATCAAAATTAAAATTTTCTTTCTTATTTATTAGTTTTTTTAATGGCATCATGAAGGTCAATTGAAAAATTTGAGTTATGGAGGTCCATGTGTTTGAATTTTTGAAATGTTAAAAAACTAAATCTAGTTTTAGAAAACTGTACTTTTTAATAACTAAACATAGGGTATTTTTATCTAGATCCTTTTCTTGATCAAAATTAAAATTTTCTTTCTTATTTATTAGTTTTTTTAATGGCATCATGAAGGTCAATTGAAAAATTTGAGTTATGGAGGTCAATGGGAAAACTTGAATTATGGAGGTCAACTAAAAAATTTGAATTATGGAGGCCAACCTTAAAGTCTAAAGGTTTTCATTTGTGTAGATCTAAAACCAAATACATGAATTGTAATTTATGTAGTAATAAATTTAGCGGGGGGATTGTGAATATGGACGATCAAGTCATTAAAAAGAGTACTTATATTAATGTAAAGTCTATTGTTCAAAGTGATGGTGAAGTAAATGGGGATATTATTAGTATAATTCAAGTTGGATGGTGATGCGATCCGCCTCCTGTCAGCAGAGGGAGGGACGACGACTCATTTTGGGCAGCCCACTAGTGGGTTTTGTTGGTCTTTTGGCTTGCTATAAGTAAGGAATAGGGGGAGATTTCTAGGTTTATGCAAGAATTGAGTTTTCTCTTAGCCACCTTAGTTCCTTTCTTTAAGTTTTCTAGGGTTTGTAGTGGGAGATCTTGTCCTTCTCGAAGTGGACAAATTGTATCTTGTTTCTTTTGGATTTCTAATGCAAAGGTTCTTGTTCTTCCTCTCATCCCTCTTGTGTTGATTTTTTCTTGGATTTGGAGGAGAAATTTCATCTTGAAGGAAAATTAGGGCAAACCCTAATTT